TAAAATCTCCTGGGCAGCGATGTGGGTTTTGTAGCTCTGCATTGCTGGGCTGGGCTGTTTTCCCGAGACAAACCTGGGCCTGTTTCTTCTTGGCTAACGTGCTGGCAGCGAGGAGAGCCCTTCCCTGGCCGTGCAGAAGGACGGTGTGTGTGGGAGCTTGTGTTGGGGAGGCGCCGGTGGTGGGCGCAGGGCGCCTGTCAAGATGGAGGGAACCCCGGAGGGGCCGTTAGTGACAACAGACCTAATGACAAAACAGGATTGTTTGTTCCAAACTTCCTCCTGCTCCTGTGTGTGGTGTGTGGAAGGTGTTTTGCGCCATTCCTCTGCCTTGGGGGTTGCAGGAGGTGCCCCCCTTCTTGCCGGGCCTTGGACCACGACATGGCTGTTTGAGCCCTTCTGCCCTGTGAGCTGGGAACGGGTTCGTGCTGTGGTTTTCGGGGCCTGGGAGATCTGATGGGCCTGCACGGCATTTGGGTGGACTAACTTTGTTCACCTGAAGGCGTCCACTGTGAGCAGAAATTTATAGTTCAAAAGTAAAAAATTCACTTTTTATTGTGTTAATGCTCAATGATCTCTAGTATTATGTGTTGTCCAGGTGGTTCCTTGACGTTAAGCAACAAGTTGCTCTTATTAAAATGGTTTGTTATAAAGCAGAGTTATTTCTTGTGTTTAGAATATCTTCCTAAGATAGTTTGTTGGGGTTTTTTTTTTGCGTATGTATTATGAAGGATGCAGAAACTAACCTTGGCCTTACAGCTGTAGTCCCCAAGGACTGTGTCCCAGTGTGTTCCTCGTGTCCAGCCCAGTATCTTGGCCTGCAGGAACTTCAGCTGCTCGGTGGCTCTGAAGGCTGTGCCCTGCCCCTGAGACAAAAAGCTGGAAAAGTGATTTTTTGGGGGGGGCAGGGAGGAGGGTGATTTTGATTTTTAAAGAACGAGTGGAGCGTTGTCTTAGAGGGTGGGTTAGAGGAGAAGACACCGTGGACTGTCCGTGCAGGCACCAAACCGTGCAGAGTGTGAGGGGGTGTCAGCACCTGGAAGTCCGGGGGGGTTTGTCGAGTCTCTGGGACCCCCTCGCCCCAGTAGCAAGTGCAGAATAATCAGTTTTCTTTCCGCCTTAACGGAGCCCGGCGCCTTGGACTGGTGCCGGTGGCGCGCGGCAGTGTTCCCGCGGGACGGTACCGACGGGCAGCGGCGCGGGATCCCTTTAGGCCCTTCTATTAATAAGCCCCAGCCCGGCAGCGAGGAGGGATGAGCCGCTTCGTGGCAGCTGTCACGAAATGGCAGTTGTTCTGCCCAGAGACGTCTGTCTGGAGACCACCTGCTTGTTCACCGCCGGCCAGGAGCTGCACTTAGGGGCATTGCAGTTCTCTTTCGGCTGGCTCCGACTTCTCGGGTCGGTGCGAACCTCAAGTACTTCTTCAGTGACTGACTTTGATTTGATGTGGGGGAGGATTTTCTCTGTGTCTGCAGCTCTTTTGTATCCTCGCCTTTAAAAAAGGCACGAGGTTTATAACCTAAATCAAAGTGTTTGAATGCTGGTTGTCCTTTCCCTGTTATTTAGCGATCTGAGCTGAAGTGTTTGTTGTTTTGGAGGAAGGAAAGCATTTTGTGCGTCAGGGCTACAAGGCAGAGCCATAATGTGGTTATTTGAGGTCAGTAGCCACATCAAACCCGGGTAGATGGATCTGGCCCTCGCGCCTGTGACAAAGGCTTCCCAGAGCAGCTGCGGTGGCAGATCTTGCTGGTGAAGAGAAGCCGTTTGCTCTGCCAGCAGTGACTCTCTTACTCTTGAATTATTTGAGTTACACCAAAAGACTTCCGACCGTCTGTGTTTTCTGCTTAAGGCTATGTTTGTATTTCTGCGTGACGTGGAGGGGTCAGGAGAACCTTCGCCGGGTCAGTGGGGCTCTGGTGTTTCAGCCCTTGAGCAAAGTCCTCTGATGCTGAGGCTGTGTGTCTAGAACAGGGCATCGCTCTGTCTTAGGGAATTCGCGGTGTAGAAATACTCATTTACTGCAGAACCACTCTCTGCTGCTGTCCGCTGTGGAGACCAGCGGGAAACGGGCAGGTATGTTGGGACTCTGGTCCTCGTCACCTCGTCGCTTACAGCAGGCAGGGTGGTCTTGGTGACTCGTTTCCGAGTGACGAAGGAACCCTGCCAGAAACCCCTGACCTTTGGCTGTTTCCTCAGCGGTTTGAATTTTCTGGTTTTGTTGGCTTGTTTGTGTGAAGATAAGTTCTTTCTCTGGTTATCTTTTTCGTGCGCTATCTTCCCGTGGTTTATGGGAGCCTCAAACTGGAAGTTGAGAGAACCTTAACTAGAGGCTTGTGCTGGAGGCGGGTTTGTTCTCGGTGCCCCGAAGCAGCTGTGAGTTTAAGCAGACCCTGTGGCCCGAGAGGTGGGTTAGTGAAATTCTGGGGGTTTGGACTGGGTTTTTTTTGTTTTGTTTTAAATGATGGCCACAGGTACAGAATTGCTTTATGCTTTTGTTTCACTCCTGTGGGAGCCATCAGTACTTTGTCTTGTTGTGTTTTAAGCATTTTTGGTGCTTTATTAATTTTAAATGCCGTGTTAAACTTGATGCAAACAGCTCTAAGAGTTAACCCGTATTAAAAAAGCAAATGTAGCAGTACAGGTTTTTTTCCCCATTGAATGAGTTAAAAAAGGTTATGAGGGGTTTTTTCTGTTCAGTGTTGCCAGAATAAAGGCTGTGCCGCTTCAGAGAAAATATGCAAAAGCTGCTTCTGCATTTTTTATCTTCCTGGAGGATGCCTCCCGTGCAGAGCTAGAGGAGTACTGCTACAAGGTACTCTGTTTTACTGGGGAGAAAAATTGTGTCTGCCGCTCTAGGTGTGGACTTGGAGAGGTGCTGCAGCCAGGGGGGTGGGCACTCTTAGCTAGCTGGGCTGAGGTTGGAGCCAGTGCCTTTGTGGTTTGAACATGTTTAATGTGTGTGGCACGTGAACGCGTTCAGGACCAGAGCTGTCTCGGTAACAGCAAGGGGATTATTTAATACAAAGTCTGGCACTTGGTCTGCTGGGCTTTTCTTTTGGCATTTGTGCAAATTCTAAACCTGCCGTTTAGCAGATACCTGTTCTGCCTCCACCTTTTAATTTACATTGGTTTGATGGCGTTTTGGTGCAGCTATGCCAGTTGTAAGCTCAGAGTTTTATTCAGATTTGCATGAGGTGGTGGTGCAAAGGTTAAACGTGCAAACTGGTGGGAGCTTTGGGGCTGTTGGCTGTGGTACATGACGTCCGTGCACATCTAAGGTGGGATAATCAAACGATACAAAAAATAATGCAAGATAAATCTTGTAACGACAGGTATAAAAATACACAGCACTGCATGCATTTCGGTAATCATCCTCCTTGGTTCAGACGCTGATAAAAAGGGTTCTGGCGAGTTCAGCAGCAGGGGTTGGAGCATGATCCCGTGCCTCCCTGCTGCAGCACGTCCCCGCCTGTGACAAAGGCGAGAGAAGGGCACGCTGCCCGCGGAGCTGACACAGGGGCTGCGGGGGGGTTCGGTACAGGTGCTGGGTTAACTGGGGTGTCTGAGCGAGGCTCACCCTCCGCCTTGCCATCCTGTCCAAGATCAGTAATTCCAACAAAGGATTGCTTGACCTGCTCTGGGGAATTCAGCTGCAGCCCCCAGAGCTTCTAGTCCAAAAATTACAGGGTAGTCGCTGGCTGAGAGGAGCGTGAGGGTCTCGAGGTTTTAAAAAGCCCCAGAGCGAAGGTCTTTCTCTTCAGCTGAATTCTAGCAGCGGTGACGACTGACTGTGGCTGCTGTTGGTATCTCTGGGGCAGCTGATGTGAATTGATGGGAGCTCTGAACTGGATAAACTGCTCACAGTTGCCTGCTGTTCCTGGGGGGGGGAAGAGGGTGGAGAAAAATGCAGCTTTGGAAATTTAGCCTTCTGTTCTTTGTGGGCTCAGGTTGCGGGGTTGGGTTTTATAGGCGGGGCAGGACACTGAGGAGTCCTACAGGTATTTGTGGCCTTCGAGTCGCGAAGGTTTAATTTCTCAGGCGTGCCTGCCTCTTGCCGGGCGCTGGGGGAACTCGTGCCTCGAGGCAGTCAGGTACTGCAAAATGGCCGTGGGAAAGTCGATGTCTTTGTGCGTCTTTGCCTGTGGAGGTGGTGCTTTGGGAAGCTGGTTACCTCTGACTGCTGTTTAACACCGCTGTGTTAAGCTCTCGAGGGTTCGGGCTCTCAAGATTTTTTTTAAGGGACTTTAGGAGGATCTGATTGGAGGGAAGAGCAGAGGCCTTATGGCTCACAGGGCTGCCCAGGTAGATGACTCTAGGGTAGCTAATGTTACTCCATATTCGACATGAACGAGTCGTGTTGGCTCTGCTCATGGCAGTCTTCTGGCACGGTGAGGAGGTTGCATCCAGTGGGCGAACCCTGCAGCACTAGGAGTGATGAACCCTCAAAAGCTGCGGGGCTTTTTGCATTCCATGCTGTGCTTTCCCCTTTTACATATATGCGTTTGATTAAAGTAGAGCCTTGGAAGTCTTTAGTTTGTTGTAAAGCCTTGCAAATGCTTTGTCCCCATCGGTTTTCCTCTTTGTACGTGACACGCTGTGTAGTACCAAATGGGTGCTCGTGGGATTAACGTGCAGCGGTTGATTACAGAAGGAGCTTGTAAAGTTGCTGTAGAAAGCTTTGTGTGTGTGTGGGGGCCAGAATTAGTCTGTTCCTTTATTAGGAGCTACAAATCAGATTGAAGTAGTTAATCTCTATCTAAAACACCGGCGGCCGTGATGAACTGATGGTGATTCACAGATACGCGCTGTATTTTAAGACTAAAGCTTGAAAAGTGCTTGTGCTTGGTGCTCCTCCTGCCCACACACCTGCCCCCCAGCCACACGGTGATCCTTAAACTGTGCCCTGCAACTGATAGAGTCGTCTGGGGGTTCAGTAAACGAGTCTTCGTGTTTTATTATCCTCTGTCTCAAGTAAGCGTGTGGTTTTTGTCTTTCAGTATGTTCAAGCAGATGCTCCTACCAATAAAACGCTGGCTGGGCTGGTGGTGCAGCTGCTGCAATTCCAGGAAGATGCCTTTGGAAAACATGTCACCAATCCTGCCTTCACAAAGCTTCCTGTGAGTATTGGGGTTAACCCACCGCTGTTTCAGCTGCCTCTTTTGTTCTTTCTCCAGTGTCCGTGCTGCCGGTGGGCGTCTGGGGGACTGGGAGATCAGGGCTTAGTCTGAGGCTTTTGTTGGGGCATCCTCTGGAAGGGGGGAGATAGCGCACCCCTTAACAGCAGATTTTCGATGTAGTACAGCTTATTTTCTACACATTTGACATGATTTCCTGAATAGTGTGGAAAGGTTTTGGGTTCTGCTACAATTCTGTGTAAGCTCCTAAGTTTTAAGTCAAGACTGCTTGGACTGATGCGTCCTAAACTGGCTGAATCATGTGCACTTTCCGAAACAAACAAGTTTCCCTTGGGCATTTCTGGTGATTAAACACCAAACTTGTAATGCTGTCAATGCTGAAAAAGGGCTTTAGCGTGTTCTTTAGTAGCACATAGTGACTTAATTAGGCTGGCATAGTTTTCCAGTTGCTCAGGCCGTTGGAATACAGAAACACCATCAACGTTTTAAGGGTTGCTCGTTTGAAGTTCAAACTTGGCGCATCTTTAGCAGTGGTACCCTAGTGGTTGTGCTCAGAGATCGGCCCCGCTGTGCTGGAACCCTGCCTGCCACCACAGAACCTTGTCCAAGGGGGTGGGAAGTCTGAACAGCTGGCAGAGGGAAGGGGGTGCAGCCCATGGCGAGGACACAGCGGCCACGGGATCGCGGGTGTGCAGGGCAAGGACGGCAGCAGGGTGTAAGCGCCCAGGTGGCCGATTTAGGGTGGGTTTGGTGGGCCAAGGCAGCTGTCGTTAGCGTGAGCGTGTATGTGAGCGTTGTGGGCGTCAGCAGGGAGGTCTTTGCTCGTCTTTGCCACGGGGTGCTGACTGGGGACCTAAGGTCTTGCAACCTAGGGTTCTGCTTAGATATATGTCCTAAGTTGGAAATATTTATAACTGACTGCAGTATCAAACTGAAGCTGTTCCGGAAGCTGTTGAATGCAGAATAGCATCTTGTGTTATTTTATGGTGATTCTTTTTTGCCCCAGACGTTTTCCTTATGTAACTTCTTTTGTGAGGAGCGTAAATTCGTGCGTGTTGCCTTCAGAAGAGGGGCTTTCAGACTTGTCGGGTGAATCTCCTGGTGCTTCGCAAGGCACCACAAGATGCCATTGAGATGCAGCTCACCATCTCCTCCGTTCTGATCCCCTGATTCCTCAGTGGTGATGAGAAGCTTTAGGGGCAGAGCTGAACATTGCAGTGCTTTATTTTGTTGTGGCAGGGTAGACCATAAAACTACACCCATATTCAGCAAGTTAATAAACCGTTTGAGTGCTCTCTAGTCTTAAATCAATTTGTCTTATCTTAAAAATGGGTAATAAAGATTTCAGTGGCATTGTAAATAAGTTGTTCCTGTGTTTATTCTCGCTGTTTCGAAGGTCTAATCTGATCAAATTTGCTCAGCTTAAGTTTACAGCAGTCGGATCTCTCTGCTCTCAATTACTTCCGACAGGAGGCAGCTCCTCGGTGCGTCTCCCTTTGTGTTGTTTTTACGTGAAAACGCCGTGTGCTCTCTCCGGACGAGGTTCGCGGTCGCTGCTTTAGACGTGTCACTCCAGGTCCCAGTTTGGGCTGCGGAGGAGGCCGTGTTGCTCTGCCGCAGCCCTTTGAGGACGTGCAGAATGCTTCAGCTCCGCAGGACGATGTCTGGCTTGGGAAGAGAGGTGGGGTGAAAGGGTGCCTGAAGTGGTGGTTCTGCCAGTTCGCCCGGGAGCCTGTCTGTTTGTTTCCCAAGCGCCAGCCAGCGTACCTCACCCTCGTTCTCTGAAGCGTCTGCTCCGCCGTGCTGGAGCAGTCGGTGGCGAAGGGCAGCTGGTCTCTGCCGTCAGTGTTCGAGGTAAAGCTCTCCGACCTGGGCTGCCTCTGAGTCGCTGCGGGCTACAGCTGTTGCAGTAAAGTTCAGACGTTTTATGTAGTGCTTCGAGTGGCTGAAATAGGCCTTCCCTCTGAGAGAGGGCTGTCCCTTCTGTGTTTAAGCTCCTGTTCTTGGCAAGGGTGCCGTGCAGTACAGGCCTGTGACTAGATCTAGGGTAAAGGAAGGACTGTTACAGCTCGACTGCTGTATGTGTCTTCTCGTTATTGCATTTAGAGGCGTATTGTCTAACCTTACTGATGCTCAAAAAAGAGAAAAAGCTGATTAATTCTCTCAAAGGCAGCCTTGCCTGTTTCACATAAAGGCTGTATTACGATATTGACTCTTAAGCTGGCAAGTTATAAGGCCAGTTGATCTTAATTGCCTTGTTATGATTGAATTTTGGGTAAAAATGTTGAAGGGAATCTGGTTTATTGACAGCTGCGTCTCTTCTGAGGAACAGGTTTTGTCGAATTGTTAAAAGCAATTTCCTTTTATGCTCGTAGCAACGACCACAGTTTAACGAGAGGCTCTTACTAGAGTCTGCTGACACTTGGAAAAAGTGATTTAGGTCTCTGAAAGAGATTGGTGTCCTATTTTTTTTTTTTCATGATTAAGTATTGGCTGAACTTCCAGTGTGTGGCAGCGCAATCCTGACTTACTAAAGTCGCTGCGGTTGCTCGTGCTGCTGGGGGCTGCCGGGTCGCTGAGCCCCGTGCCCGGCTGCAGGACGGCCCGCCGGCATTGCCCCGGCAGTGCGGGAAGGGGCCGCCTCGTCCTTGAAAGGTTTGGTGTGGGGAAGCTTGCTGAAGGCGAAGCTGCAGCAGCAGCCCCTGAACTTGAAGTAGGGAACGTTGGGTACGACGGTGGGATCAACGGTTTCCCGAAGTGCAGACGGGGCGAGCTTTGCTGCAGCGATTTCTGCAGTTGCGTGATGGGTCCGGCCCGTCAGCAGAAAGGGAAGCCTCGATTCTGGCTGACCCTGCGGGCGTGGGACAGCTGAAGATAAGTAACAGCAACTGACGTGCTGGTGCTGCAAAAATATTCTTTACAACGAGTCTTCTGGCTTCGTAAGGAGAGTTGTTTTTCTTTTCAGAGCAGCTCGGCGTGTTTGTAAACCAACACTCGCGTTCTCAGAGCCACGTCTTAACGGCAATAAAATCATTCAGCCTGTTAAAACATTTTGTTTTAGTTGAAGCTTCTGATCAGAGACTGCTCCGTCCCTAGAGGACTTTGGTTTGCTAAGAATAGCCCCGAAAGGCAGTCGTCTCGCAGGCTGGCGGGTACCTGTGTGCAGCTTTGAGCTCTCTGTTACCCTCTGGGCACAGCAGGGCTCTCAACAGAAGGCAGACCAGGAGCAGTTCTGTTCTTGTCAAGTGCTTACGAAGGGTTTTATGTTGGATGCTGATTTGTATTTGGTATAAATATATATCTGTATTTCTAAAAGGTAAGATAGGTGCTAGATCAGAAATGTTCCCAGTGCAGAAACACTGCTCGGAAGGCGGCTGACGGCGCGATGTCTCCAGCTTTGTGCTTTCTCTAGTTCCGGCAGAAGGCAGCTTGCTGAAAGCCGCTGGTAACTGGAGCCCAGCCCTTAAACAAGTCCCCAGATTCTCTTTTGGGAATTGCACAAGTTTTTTATTTTGATTGAGAAACACAGACTAGACCGATCTTGGTCTCTACGTTCAGCATGAGCACGGAACGTTGGGTTTCCTTTCCCGTTCTGGTAACCGGCTGGGCATCGTGCGCTGCACGGAGCAGCATCAGAGGGGGTCGGCTCCGGAGGGCCCCTTGGCACGGCCCTTGTGCGCTTCTGGTGGGGCTGGGAGGTGTGGGGCTGCGCTTCTGGCGGGGGGTCCTTCCCTGGTAGTGCCAGGGGGACCGCCGTCAAGGCAGAACATGCCTGCCTGCTGTGGGGGCTCAGCTAGGCGGTGGATCTGCCTCGTTTTGTCGTTTCAGCGGGTTATGAGAACAGCTTTCTCTCAATGTAGCTGAAGTTGTCCGGGAAAAGGACCCGTTTGCCCAGATAAGCTTTTTGAAAGTCCTTCTGGTCCTGTACAACAGTTGCCAAAAGCAGTTTGCGCTGTGATCGATGGAAGGAAGCGTTCCAGGGTAGCCTTCACTGAGTGCCTCTTTGTAAATGAATTTTTACATCTCACCAGAACTTTAAAAATAATAAAAAAAATCCCTTACAGTCAAATTGATGTATCGGTCATATTGTAACGAAAGAGAAGGCCTGGAGTTTTTATTTGTTCTCTTACCGTGTCGTGTGTGGCTTTCTTTATCGCTGGTTAGTTCATCAACGCTGTTGGTATTTTTCTTCTCCCCGTTCCAAACCCTGTGCGGAGAGCCGCGGGTACCCCGGGTGCCCCTGCGCTGCGGATCGCGCTGGAGGGAGGTTCCAGTGTTGCCTTTCTCTGGTCCTGGCTTCAGCTGAGCTGTCCTGTTCCCTTCCGTTTCTAAGGTGGCTTTGGCAGCAGCTCACTTTTCCAAGCACACACAAACATTCTGACCAGAGATATCAGTAAAACAGCAAAGAGGATTCCAAACTAGAATTTACCCGAAAAGTGTACCTTTCTGTGTAGGAAACAGTCCTGGTTTTTTAGTGACCTTTCAGAGAAAGGACTTGGTGGGACCCAGCAGAGCTTTTCGGTCTCCTCGTGCTCCTGTTTGAACTGTGGCTCGGCTGGGCTCTGCTCGAGTGGACGCTGAAGGAAGGCGTTGGAGCTGGTGTTTCAGGGCAGACGGGCACGGTGGCCTTTTCAGACCTCGACTTTCTGTCGCAGTGGTGGAGGGCCGTGACAGCTTTAGGAGCCGTAGTGACTACGGAGCCCGGGTGTTGGTGTTCATTTCGAAGGATTTGTTTTGGTCTGCTTGATACAGGTGAAGAGCTTCTTAACTGACGGCTATGATTTTAGGTTTAATTTACTGTGAAATGGGTGTTCAAAGAGTAGTTTGGATTTCTGTTTTACAGCTATGCGGGGGGTTCTTTGCAAGCTACTCACGTAAGGAAGGACTTGGAGCCTTCAGATCTGTCAGGTTCTGCTGGCAAACGTGAAGAATTCTACTTAAACCAAATGCATTTAATCTTGAAACGTTCCTGTAAAGGAGAATATAAAACTCCAGAAGTGATTTATCTGGAAATTAAACTAGGCATGTGATAAGTTAGATGTCTAAAACTCAGCTAACAAGTAGGTATTCGTTCAGAATAATTACATGAAAGTCAATGTCACTGTGTTTTCACTTTTCTTTTGGGTTCTAGGCAAAGTGCTTCATGGATTTCAAAGCTGGAGGTACATTATGTCACATTCTTGGTGCTGCTTACAAATACAAGAACGAACAGGGCTGGTAAGTTTTTATTTTTGATTTATACACCTCTTGCATGAACTTAAGCACATGAAATGCCTATGCAAACTACTTAAAGGTAATACTTTCTGGAGAATTGGGCAGGCAAGGGAGTTGGAGATGGGAAGAGGAAATTTTTTCCTGTTTTGCTGATGGTAGCTTTTATAAGACACACCCCCACGCCTCTAAATTTAAAGAGAAGTTGTCCAAGTGTAATGTCTTGAGCCTGTAGGTTGGAAGTTAATTAGAAGCCTGAGGGTTTCTTTGGCCATTTACTTGCCATTTGACTGAGCAAATCAACCAGTGTCTTAGAATCGCTGTTTCCCATCTAGAAGATGTAAATCCATGAACGGGGAGCGTAAGTAGTTGAGGCACTGCCCACGGAGCTGTTGACACTAGTATTAAAACTGTTCTTGTGACATGCTAGTAGTGCTTTGGCCTGTGTGTTTCTAAGTTCTAATCCTCTTTCCAGGACAGCAGTAACATGAATTACTATATTTGAGAACATTGGAAAAAATGTGAGGGTGAAAAGCCGGTAGATAAAAGTAAGCAGAGACTGTTCTTGTACATGGATTTAAACCGTTTCTGATCTGGTGTGGTGCAGACCTGGAACTGACTGTGCTTGTGTTGCCCACGAGAGCAAATTAAAAGGCAGCAGTAAAGCTGGTTTAGCATGGTCGGTTGTCTTTAGACCTCGTTTATACTCCTATCAGCTGAAGGGGTGTCTGAGGTGGAGGTGTCGGGACGCTGGGATGGGTAAGCTGCTGCTGTCAGGTTTTTTCCTACTCCAGTGTTGCCACCACCGAGGACACGATAGATGGTTGTGGCGTATCTTTCAGGAGTGTCTTGCTACCTCTTTGCCGTAAGATCAAGGAGTTAAATGGCTCCTACTTCATGAATATTTAAACATTCTAATTTTTTTCCAAATAAATTTATTTTTCAGTCATTGGAAGCTGTCAGCAAAACTTAGATACGTGATTGCCTCCTCTCTTCTCACTCTCTTGCTGATTCGTCAAAACTAGTGTGGGTAGTGTCTTGTGTTTGTGCATGTGGGGTGTAGAGGGAAGTAATACTTGCATTTAACTGTGAGACCAGACGTAGAGCTTGGAATGTATCCTTCACTGACTCAACCAAATAATATGTGGTGTTTTGCCTGAAATATGATTTATTTTTTTTAATGGTTTGCATTGTCGCTCTTGCTTAACCTGTTTGTGAATGATCTGTCTTATAGGAGAAGTACCTTTCCTCGTCACACGAGGTATGTCTGAAAAATGCACTTACCCAGTGCAGCTGGACATACCTTGTCTGTCACTGCAGTTCAAGTAGTCGTTTGCTAAAACCTGACAGGAGAGCAGTTAAACTAAGGACAGGAAGAATTAGTACTGCTGTTTTATCTAAATGGGCAACTAAAAAAAGTGCTGTGTCCTAATATATTGACATGCTTCTCTTTAAAGTGTGGCTTTCAAAAGCAGGCAGGGATTTGGGGACGTACGTGGCGTTAAATGAATGCATAACGCAGGTTTTGGGTGACCAAATGTGAAAATTTGGGTCAGACTTGAGTGCTGTAAGTGTCTGTTTCACAGGTACTTTGACTTTATCAGTCTGGGTTAGCTGGTGTGTGTTGGCATTTATCTTCCTTCCCGGCCTCGAAACCCTTACCTTGGAGAAGGGTCCGTTTGAACACGGGCCGTGAAGCCGCCCGTGGCTGAATGCTGGAGAAGGGGCTTGGTCTTGGCTCTTAAAATCCCGCGTCCTACAGGTGTAGAATACTCCGTGTTGTGCAGTGAGCTGACAGCCTTCTTGATGGCTGGCCCTACTTCTAGAAGTCAGTGTAAACCTCCCAAGGTGCGCAGCGCCCTTGAAAGAGGTCGTGCGTTTCTGCTACAAGTGAAAGAGGATTCTGATAAATAAGCCGGGATATTGCCTTAACTCGTTCGCTGGGTCCGTAGGGCGAAGGGAAGAGTCCTCGGTGCTGCTCTAGGAGAGAAGCCAACACCACTGATAGGGAATGTCCCTAGAGCCGCCCAGCACTGCAGCCCATGCGCGTGGCGCCACTGGCACGGGCAGCTTCTCCCCGAAAGTGCTAGAGAGCCTCCAGCGAAGGAAACCGTGGTGGTCTTCGGTTTAGTAGTGTGATATTGCTGTGACCCCATCGTCGTGGGGCAATGGGTTTCATGACTAAATAATCAATCTTGCTTTGGTTTACCTTCGTTGTTTATCTATAAACTTTAAAAATTGATGTGTGACTGGAAACAAGCGTGTGCTTGCAAGCAGCTGTCATCAGATATGGGCGCAGGAATGAATTCTTGTGTGTTAAGTTGTTAAAGCCTGTCAGTCGCTGCGTGGTAACGACGTGCTGGCTCTTTCACGGTGCCAAGGGTACAGGGCACTCGGGTTTTAGGTGCTGAAGTCCCCTCTGCCGGTATTGCCGCTCCTGAGGAGCAGCCGCTCAGCGCTCCAGTTAAGAGCTTTTTCTGACTCTAGCAACAGCTTTTTCCAAAACTTGGGAGGTACAGAAGTGCACCAGACGTACGTCTCGGAGTCAACCCGATCATCTGAACGTGGCAGGGTGCTTTGGAACAGGCTGAAGGGCCGAGGGTCAGGCCCAGAGCTGTTCCAGAGGCTGCTCCAGCGCTGCTTCCCTGGCTGGCAGTGGTGGTGCTGGCGCAGGCACCTCCGGGTGCTGGGCTTGGCGAGGGACTGGCTGTGGCCCTGTTATTGTCCCACCTCTCTTTTTTTGGGGGGGTCAGCATCCAGAGTCTTCACTTGAGTTGATTCATCCGTGACTTCTGAATGCCTGTAGGGTTCAGGTGGGGACGGCAGAAGGCCTTTGGGGGGCTCTTGTGGTTCTGCCCAGTAGAAAGTCTCAGGTTTGGTGTTTTCCCCCCCATTCCTCATAGACACTTAAATCTGCAGTGTTGTTTCAAGAATTTTGATTACTTGGTCAATGAAGTAGCAAACTTTATAAAGTACCGGAGTCCAATAAAGATGGTCATAAAAGCTTACATGGATTCTTAGCTCCCTGTGTGGTGTCGGGGGGTAGCTTGTTCTCGAGTAGGTGAGTCGTTCACAGCATCTCAGGCAGACAAATTGCTGTGTCTTTCCTGGGTTCGAATCTGGGGCTGGTGGATGGGTACAGCTAAAAGTAAGGGAAATGTAAGAGCTTGTTCACGGTTTTCTCATCTAGTTGTTGAAATCCATCGTGAGCATTTGATTATGTTTCTGTTTAATTATCCCTTGTGACTGTAGTGGAATGCACAACCCTGCTACGGGGTTTGTTGGACAACGCCAACCTTTGTTTCTCCGAAACATTTCACAAATCAGTTGCGTTTTGTTGATTCGGTTCATTGTGATTTTTTTTTTCTTGCTTGTGAGGGCTGCCAAGTGAAGCAAAAATACTTGTGATTGTGCTTTACGTGTTCTTACGTAGCTACCGTGATACACTGTTTTTTATGTGGAACATGAAAGATGCTTGACTGCTGAAGGGAGGAGAGTTGAATTTGATATTTTTGAATCATTTTCCTTAACAGGCGGAGGTTTGACCTGCAGAATCCATCCCGCATGGATCGAAACGTGGAGATGTTCATGAACATTGAGAAAACACTAGTGCAGGCAAGAAATGATGCGTTTGCGTGCTCAGGGGAAGGGATTTGCTAGCTTTTTGTGGACCTCAGCTGTGACCCGCTGAAGAGTTTCATCCTGGACTTCTGTAGCGATATGATATTCTTCCCTCCCTCTCCCACGTGCTTTATCGCTTGAGAACTTCAGAATATTTTCATTGATATTCAGCAGATAGGTATAGGGCGAGAAAAAACTGTAAGGTAGGAGAAAGCATCAGAGTGTCTCAGTCTTCCTGGGAAAGTAGCACCCTTAGGGCTGAGTAGCCTCTGTCCCTGACCGTTCGATTGCTGACTCTCTTGAGACTTTCAGCTTGATACAAGTTTTTTTTCAGGTGAGGGTATATTTTAGACTGTTTTACTTGCTTTATCAAGCAAGTTATTACCAGAAGATAGCAGGTAACAGCTGCGTGGAGTCTTAATTTGAAGTTAAATTGTTTTAATTGCTGTGTATAACAGAATCTTTTTTTCAAACTCTAAACCCAAGCTCAGTATATAGTCAAGATGGAGCTTTCAGGTGCTTGTTAAAAATGGAAATAAGAGGAAGGACAGCAAAAAGAAACAATACTCCTCTCAAAAAAAACTATTGCCGTGGTATGGTGGTTTCAGTACATAATACAGTACATGTTAAAATCCAAAATAAAACGGATGTGTACCTGCAGATGTCATGGAAATGCATGGATCTGCATGTCAGTGCAATGGGGCGGGTTCAGACTGGGAGGCCGACACACAGGGGACTTAAATTCCCTTTCAAGCAAAGTCTTCCCGAGCCTCTCAAAAGTTCTTTGAGAGGAAAGTCGTGGTTTCCATTATGATGTTGTGAAAGCAGGAGCGTGAGAACAGCTCAGTTGGGTCACGTTCCCTCTATCCCTGATGATCTCTGGCAGAGCTGACGGCAGATCTGCAGAGACCAGAGCGAAACCCGGGATAAGACCTGGGCGGGGAGGTGTGCCAAGGAAATGCTGCTGTCACAGGGGCCTCCGGAGCTGGAGCGGGTGTGCCGTGTCACGCCGGGGAGCTGTTATGGGTGCCTTCGGAGCGTTTTCAAGCAGTGGTGATCTTAACAGGAATTTTTTGATGCATGTCACAGGCAGCCTACTAATTTCTTACTGAACTTCTCATTCCCTCCGCTAGAACAATTGTCTGAGCAGACCGACCATCTACCTCATTCCGGATATAGAATTGAAGTTGGCGAATAAATTGAAGGACATTGTCAAACGTCACCAGGTAACCGCTGTTAAATAGCAGATCTTGGGACAAATGTTTTGTCAGTTGTGAGATAAAATGTATTGGCCTGACGTCAGGGCACCGGTTACGTCTGGATCGTGTCTGACAACACGAGGCAGCAGCAGCAAGTCACTTAGGGCTGGAAGTTCAGCACTTGTAAGATGCCATCGGTGGTTACACTGGTGTGGAGGCCGAGTCATGGCTCTGCCCTGAAAGTAAATCTGAAATGGCAGCTGAAGTGAAAAGTGGTGGTGGTGCCTCCCTGAGCTGGTTCAGTGCTGGGTGCCTGCTTGTCCGAATCTGAGAGCGAAGAAGGTAGTGGGTGACGCAGCTGTTCTGGGTAGGGGGGCAGCATAAGGGAGCTTTACTCTTAAAACGATCGCTACCTTTTTGCTTTGCTTCGCTTGCTTTTTCCTTGCTTGTACCGGGCGGGACACAAGCAACAACAATCTCGTGCTTGTTAGGTGGTCAGCGTGTTTCCAAGAGAGTCAACATCTTGCCATTGTACTTTAATTTACTAAGTGAAGAAGTGAAGATGAATAGCTTCATCTCTTTTTGAAAATGTAAATGGTTTTTTCACTTGTTTTGAGAGAAATGTCCTGGAATGTGAACTCTAGGTGATCTGGTGGCCTTTTGTGCTATGATAACTCATGGCTGTAGCCAAAGAAAACTGTTTCTTTTCCAGATAAAATGTTTCCTGTGTTGTCATTATGAACCGTCTCTCAACTTCCGTGGTGTAACTTTTCACAAGTTACTCATAGTTATTCAGCTGATTCAGGATGCTTGCTATTCCTTAAATTAGAGTTAATGATTTGGTTTTCCTTTCATAAAGGGATTCTGTAGTGAACCCAAAGCATGCTATGTCTAATGATTTAAGGGACTTTTAAAGCAGCCAGCTCTGTCTCTTAAAGGGATGTGAAGAATTAAAACCAGAAATTGTCCCTAATTCTGCTTTTTGGGCTTTCTTCCTTTGCCCTACCTTTAAATTCTCATCTTGTGTTTGTCTTGCTACCTGTGCTTGCTCGATGTCTTGACTTTTGTTTTTTTTAACCTGTTGCTGTCATCCTCCCTCTACCCCGTCCCTGGTACCTGCAGCTCCTTCCTCTCTGGTGTTTCCAAGTCCTGGCTGCTCTGTCTGCAGCCTGTGCAGGAGAGTTGTGTGTCTCTTGCCCCAGCAGAGTGCTGGTGTGATCTCTGGGCTTGTAAAGAGGGGTGTCGGGGAGATGGTGGTTCTCTCTGCTGACGAAGATGCTGTTACTCTTTCTGGTAGCCACGCTTTTTCTGATTTGCTTTATAAATATTGAGGGTTCTTCTGAGAAGAGCCAGAGTAACGATTTAGGAACTAGAAAGCAGGTAACGAGTGAGATTTA